GGGGGGGGGGGGGGGGGGGGGGGGGGGGGGGGGGGGGGGGGGGGGGGGGGGGGTTGGTAAAAAGGGTAATATGGTGTAGTAGCTTATTAAAATTGTGTGTCTCGTACGGAGTTGGTATTATCTGGGCATAGTAATAAGTGATCAAACACATGAGGATATTCCTTGTCGGACACCGACGAAGGTTGTCAATATATGCATGAGAGTACAAGTGTAATAATAAGTAACGAAATTAGTGCTACCATGATATCACCGTGGTGGGTCAGACCTCGAGAAGTGATTAGCCTTGTGGGGGCAAACCACCAAACAAACTTGATCGACATGTACTAACGTAGCCTTTTTGATTCCTGGTGCCAGGAAAAATACCGTCCCCAGGCAGCGAGCCACCCGAAGGTAGCGCATCACCCAAGTCAGTTCAGCATCGCTAGCATGCCACCGGTTTTCAGGGGCATCTGGGCTACCTCGCGGGGCCGACTCCAGATGTTCTCATTTTTAATTTTTCTTAATATGACACAACGAGTCCATCTCTATCATAGAAAAGAGTCATAGACAGATTAACAATGGAATCATAGCGTCAGAGAAAACTACCTGTATGTCTACGATTTCCCAGGCAGCATATAGGGACATCTCCCCTGCGGGTAACAGGCTCAACAAATCAGTTTGGTAGCTGTCTTGTGTGTCTCATACATGTTATGTTGGGAAGGTGCAGACGAGAGGTGTTGGGTACTGTTGGTTAGCCGTATTTTATTTTGATCGGTTTCCGAGGGTTCTCTTCTCGAACGGTCGGTGCGATACCTGTGCTTTTCTTTCTATGATATCATTTTGTTTTCTTTTTCCGAGTGGTTTGTACCCTATTTTTGTTTTGTTTCCCCACGGCGTCGTATGTGCCGGGTTTTGAGACCACGGGCTCCCCATTTTTTGTGGACAATAGAGCTAATGTGAGCAACAACAACAACAACAACGACAACAACACTCTCACGTGTGTGATTTATTTGCATTGTTAATTAGAACATCAGCTGATTCAGTGTAACAACAGCGTTGCACCATCGCCGTTGGGTTGGCTTTGTGTGCTCTCCCTGTGCTCTGCGGTGTGGGACAGGATTGTTTTTTTGTGGATCGGGGTACATGAGCACGCTGTGCGCGTGAGTACGCTCTGTTTGGTGTACACCAGCTCGGAGGCCGGATTATTTATCATGTTCCAGCCCTTTGACCTTTATTCTCGTTTTCTGAAGTTGCACCGCAGCCGAATCTGGTTCTTTTAGAGAAAGAAGTCATGGGCAGAAAGCATGTGCGATCACTGAAAGACTGCATGTTCCCGAAAATACCACAGCAAGCAGTCACCAAGGGAATGTGTCGGACTCTGTTGCCGTGATGTCAAAAAGTGGACGGGCGGGAACTCTTTCAATACTGCCCACTCAAAGTTAGAGTACTCATCAATCATGCAACACAAGGAAACTTAAAAAATATTTATCTGGACAAAACGGGGCGTATTCTCGACAACAAAAGGAGTGGAAGAGCCGCAAACGGCGACGTTGGGCTGTCTCGTCGAGAGTTGTTCGAAAAAAACCTTGTTGTCATTTATTCGTCCTCTTGGTAGCTTCTGTCACCGGCGGTTCTGACAGAATTTCGTTCGTTCGTATGCATATGCATTCGTCGCCCGCTACCTGTCACACCAAACAACCCGGGGTACTGCTGTACATCAAGAGAGTAGATGGCACCGACGAATAACTCCTCACGCGTGAGCTGAGCGGGGTTAGGTATCTGGGAGCAACTGACTCCGAGCGTACGGCGATTACCCGTTGTGCCTTGGGCGAGCCGTCGCGTTTGTTTTGTCAGTACCTGCGGAAGAACCTGGACAATATACCTTCTACTGGTGTAGACTAGAGGTAAATAACTTGCAGACAGGCTGTTTGCTGCTGCCGTGATGCCGCTGTGCACTGCGAATCGCACGAGGTGCTACAACTGGCACACGAACATGCAACCGCCCATGGTTTGTGCTCCGCTTGTGGACCTGTCACGTGGGTATTGCTATTGCGGCACACTAGACTAGTTCTACAGCAGTAGAGCGCACAGACCCCGCGCCCGACTGCTGCTGCTGAATCGTGAATCAGACTTATTCTCAGCTCCAACACGCGAGAGGCGCCCAGTGTGTGTTTTTCTATGCCTCACTGTAAGTGCTGTTGTGCTGTCATTCTGCTGTACACTGCACATCTCTCGAGTCTTGACGCGCAGACAATCGACCCAAACCTCATGCGTCGAAGACATACTCCGAACATCAGACACGCGGACACGATGTTACTTGTCACTCGTCAACACTGCAGTTGGAACCATCAGCTCTCGACGTTTTTCGGCAAAGGATTCAACACCGCCAAGTCAGTCAGATTCGAAAATGTTCGGGACATTGGCACTGCTGCTGTGGCATGGTGGGTAAATAAATCCTTCTCGCCAACGTTCTGCCGGTTTCGTTTTTTTTTCCGTTGCCCGCGTCGTTCCGCCCCCCCCGGCGTTTGCCATCGGGGTTGGGTTTTCGTCGCTTGGCAACGACGTCGTATCACAAGCC